AGTTCGATTTTTTTACCGAGAACCATTACACCACTAATATATATATATATATATATATATATATATTATTGTGTGTGTGTGTGTGTGTGTGTGTGTGTGTGTGTGTGTTCTGTTGTTGTAGAAACTATGATAATTTTTTCAGGTTTATTTGATGAATAGAAAGTTCAAAAGAAAGACTTTTTTGTAACAATGTAAAAGTCTTTACTGTCACTTTTAATCAATTTAAAGCGTCCTTACTGAATAAAAGCATTTAAAAATCTGCAATGAGTTATCTTAAAGTAAGCATTATTGGTTAAATAACTTTGACAGGGCTCTTGGAGTTATCTGGGGATTTATTTCCAAACAGGGTTTAATACAGCCATTGATTGTGCCTCAGATTTACCGTATATGAAGAGTAGCGCTGAACAACAAACAACCATTATATAACCTAAGCTTCTGCAGAATGAGCTAATAAGTTATCCATAGAATCACAGTAAAAAGTTAAGCCTACATGTTTCATCTGAATTGTTCTTGAACGGGCAAACTTTATGAGTTGACCTTTTGAGGATAGCGGCTCATGAGGTACACTCAGAATGTGTTCAACATTTACATTCAGTCCAAATATGCTGATAGCACTTTTCCATCTGCTGGCAAAGATAGAGTGTTGGTTAGATTCGTTGGATCCTGTGCTTCCTACAGAGGACCTTTGTGATGCGTCTTTCTGTGAGATCAGTGAGGCCCAAATCTCCGCCAGTAGAAATGCTTTCGCTCGGCCGTAATCCCCTCATTTGCAAGCAAAAGGCAACTCATCGCGAGCTATTTTCATCGTCTGGCACAGGTACACTCGGGGGCTCCTGAAATCCTCCATGTCTCATTTGACCCTGGGTGGCACAGTGTTCCCTGTTCACAATGAAATCTAGTCCGTCTCTCCATTGATTCCTGTTAATTACACAACCTTGTGAGGCACTGCTTCATCAGGCATAGCTGGAGTCGCCCAAATCCTACACAAGCGGTGCTGCCATGTGGAAAAGCCAGGGACACCCTCGGTAAGACCCTCGGTGCCCCTTGATCTAGGTTGGCAGAGGATAACAAGCCACCTTCACCCTCACAAAACACACACAAACACACACACTGAGAAGCAAAGAGGGCCCCAAATCTTCTTACCGGATTCACTGACACACTGGCCGCAGACTTGAATATATAAACCTCATAAAAGAGAGCCAGATCTGCTAAGTGACTTTTCAAAGAAAATGTGGCATCAACAGGCCGAGTTCAAAAACTCCATGATGTTTACACTGCATAATGTTGTATAGCGCACAATCAAACAAACTGCGCTTAATGGATTCTCAAAAAGGCATCGAGATGCTCGGTAACCCGAGTGAAGCAGCTCCTGTGAGAAAGCGTCATCCAGTCCGGAGGTCCAAGAGGTCCATGTTGCTTC